TGGTATTTATCCTGTATCTTTCGGTTGCAGCAGCATGAAAGAATTTTGTACTTTCATCTCCAAATTTAGTCCACCTAATAGTGTATCTTTTCTTCCAATAATCTTTTTGTGCTTAAGGAGCTTGAGGATGTGTTTCTTCAAAATCTTCCTAAAATTGAATTCTTGAAGAAAAAGAGACCTTTGTTCTTCTAGTGTATCTAGGATCTCTAGTGTAGAATTGCAGTTTTTTATCAGGCAGCTGAGGTTAGAAAGACCTTTGCTCCACTTTTTCAGGGCAGCCCTTAAAAGTTTGAATTTGGCAGTGACTCTAGTAGCACTATTAGTTGCTGAGACATTGGAATTCCAGAACGAATTTACCAGATCAAAGAAGCCAGGATGCTCTACCTAGAAATTTTCAAACCTAAAGACATGAGCTTTGGGAATAGAAGTCCCAATTTGAATCTTACAAGGAATGTGGTCAGAGGTGGGTCTAGTCATTGGAAGAAGCAAAGTGTTAGGGAAGTCACTTGTCCAGTTGGAGGTTGTGAACACCCAGTCTATTTGCTCAAGGAGAGGAGCACTTTGCATATTGCTCCAGGTAAAGTTTCTTCCTTTGAGGGGGATCTCAAGCAGACCCAAGTTACTTATGATTTCATTGAAGATCATCATGTCATTCATATTAGCACCATCTCTATTTCTACCAGATATAGATATGTAGAAGTTGAAATCCCCAGCAAATATCCAATTCTCCTCTGCATTGATGTCAAGATTGTTGAGCCAGTGCACAAAATTATCCCTTTCTGGGCCTTGGCAAGGGCCGTATACGGACGATAATGTCCAGGTTTGTCTATTGTGAGAAGAGGTGAATTTGACTGTTACTGTGAATTTGTTTATTTGGATTACCTCTCCTATGAAAATAGCACTATTCCATCCCATCAGAATTCCCCCAGAAACACCCTTAGAAGGGGAAAAAGCAAATTTGTTGAAGCGCTTTGGAGCTAGTTTTCTAATGAAGGAATGATCAAACTGTTCTCTTTTTGTTTCTTGGATGCAGAAAATGTCACAATCACTCTCATCTATCTTTTCTCTGATGGCATTGCATTTATCTTCAGAGTTTATTCCTCTGATGTTCTAGTTCAAGATGTTCCAATTTCTGCTGGAACCACTATTATTCTTTATTGGGCCTCGTAACCATAAGCAATGTGTTGAAATTGCCTCCGAGAACTCTGACTAAACCCAGTCGGAGAAAATCCAAAACCAAAGACTCAAACAGTTGCTCTCAATGGGTGCAAAACCCCAACAAACAAGCCAAACCAAAGACCACAAGCAATGCAGAAGGGAAGCAAAGATGTCCACAGAGAAACTGGTTTTTTACCACAAGTCTTAATCAAACAAAATCAAGACAACAACAAGAGAAGATAGCACTTCTCAAGGTATTACGACCATAAAACCAATCCAATGTTCCATTATCGCGGGATGTTGCGGGGCAATCCTCGACAAAACAAAAGTAGATAAGTAGACTATCCATTGATAACTAGTTGGGTCCCCCTTGTGCCGCTCCCATCCGGTGCAACATCATCAGTTCTGGTAGCCAAAAGCATTTCCGTCGTCACCTCTGAGGGGTGAATGCAACACCTTTCTGTACTATTCTCTCGTATATCGTGCATGAAATTTTGGAAATAAGGTCCCTCCTCATTGCATTTAAGAACAAAGCAGAGAGTCCCGAAAAATCGAGAGGCAAAGCAATTTGGTGGGAGAGAGAGATTATCCAACAAGTCAGATTAAGGGGCCACCTTCTTGCCTCTTGCCTTGCTCTTGTTCTTGTTAGGCTTTCTAGCTGTAGTGGGGACAACTCTATGCATATGTCCATCGTGAGCAACTTTCAGTCTTGGGCTCCTCCTAAGAAACTTCAGTTGAGACAAGTGTCTGAGCTTTCTTTTCTTTGTGGCTTTGCTTGAACTTTCATCTCCATTCCCACTACCGTGTAGCAATGGATCAATCGAAGCATCATGAGTTATGAGAGCATAATCTTCAAGGAGGTGCAGGAAAATTTGTTCTGTCTTAGCTGAATTTTAGGTTCTATGGTTTTGTTCTTGAGTCTTTTCTGTAGTAAACTATTGTGACAGGGCATTTCTTGCGAGGGAAAGCTCTGCTAGCCGAAGTTGCTATCTTTGGAGTTGGTTGGAGGTCTTGAGAGCTGGGCAGGGATCTCGAGTGACGCAAGCACCAACATTTGGGGTGGTGGTGTGACTCTGCTCATTAATATTGATAGCAATGTTGAAAGAATTAATTCCCAGGCAAAAAAGATCAATCTAGATCAAAGAGCTTGTGATTGAACCGCTTCCACCAAAACTTGTGACACCGCAACCTTTTGATTGTTGATCAATTTGTTTGGGGCTTTTAACTAGGAAATTGGTTATAGCATTTCTCCGATCTCTGTCTCTCTGAGTCTCAGATTGGGTTATCATAGGTCTGTCCATTGTGTGTGGGATAAGAGCATTTTGGATTGGGTCACTTTCCGAGCTGAACATTGGTGTTGAGGTTCGATTCTTTGAACTACTTCAATTGTTCCGATAGAGCCTTGACCAAATTTGTATTCCTCAATTGGTTTGAAGAGGAATCGACTTGGTGAAACACCCCCAAGTTCGATTCTGATTCATGTCTTTCTCGGATCGATGAGCGACCACCAAATTATCCATCACTGGTCACCATTTCCACCACTTTGAACTTCTCCTGGCAGTATGGGTCCCTCAAAGGGATGAAGATTACCATTGTGTGCGGGGATCTTCCTCACCGGTGCAATGTTTGTCATAGGAGCGATCTTTGGAGTCGGGCACAGCAGCCGTAAGAGTGGGTGGGGGCCTGGTGTTGGCTTTGATTCTCGGTCACCAAGGGGTGTCAAGGGAGGAGTTTTCATATTTGAGGAGTGCACGATAGAAGCTGAAAGCAACAAAGTGAGCATTGGGCCCATGCACCCATTGGATGGAGGGTTCAACAAGAGTGTGGCTTGGCTCCATGAACGAGGGCGGCTTCTTGGGACCTTGAAACCCATTTAAGTTTTACGGCAACCCACCGTTGAACCTGAGCAGTGACTTCGGGCCTTGTGACCATAGTTAAAGCGATGAATTATGAGATCTTTGAATATCATCACTAAAACAATCTCGACAAAGTGCCCTGTACTTAGGCATCTAAAGCAACAGCGGGAAGCATTAGAGGGGGAGATAAAGCGATCACCTTGGGGGGCATTCCCATTAATGGCTTCTTTATACTGCATGGAGCAGTTGGAACGACCACCATTCTCATCAATGCGAAGATCTCTTTTGAATTTTTGAAAAACAGAGTACACTGGAACATCTCTGTTGCTACCTGAAGAACTTCGAGGCCCTTTGTGAAAATCTTTGTTGAATTGAGAAGAATCAGTACCAAACTCCCGGTCCAAAGGAAGAGAATCCTCAGTGAAATCCCGAACTAAGGAGGAATCAATAGGATCAAAAGGGCAATAAAAACTACCAATCTTGATTACCGAGTTGAGCTCTCTTGACTGAGATTTGGTGATTGGTGAGTCTTGGACGAGCTTGTGATGAAATGAAACCTTCTTGCGAGCAGAATTCCGCTTGTTTTTGCGATTTGTCTGGATGGTCCAGCTGTTCTCTTCTTCTTTCTGCCACTTGATTTTTTCTTTCATCCAATTGGCACCATCGTGCCATAGATGGAAATAAACATCAAACTGCTCTGCGGTGATTAGCTTGAGAGATCGAATCAGAAAACCAACTTGCTTATTGCTAACTGAGAAGTGAAAATGACGATCACTTTCGAATACAACATGGAAGCCAGCAGGAGAACCACCCAAGCAGCAGTGAAGAGCCATGGCAACAGAGTCTTCAGTTAAATGGAAGAGGTAGCGCCGAAAAACTGCTAGCAGGAAGAACGACCCATCCGGAGTAGAAGGATGATGCACAGAGGTCGAAAATCTTTGCAACACTTCAGTCCCAAATCTCTTACCCGGAGAGAAATCCCAGTTCCTGACCAAGGCGGCTAGGGCAGGATCTTGCTCGAGCTCGATGAGAGCACCCGGAGAGGAAGCAGGGCGGACCATGACTAGGGCGCAGAAACTCCAGAACCACCACAGGTGGCTAGCGACGACGACGCGGGTTCGCTGCCTCTGCTCGCGCCGGCCCACGCGTACAGCCCAGGCCGCGCCGGCCTGCAAGCAGCTGGGCGCTCCGCTGCTCGCACCAGTCCGCGCGCAGCTTGCCGCGCCACGCCTCGCTCGCGCTGGCCCGCGTGCAGCCCTCCATGCCGTCCGGCCTGAGCGCGCGCCTTGCGCCCGCACCCGCACGGGGCCGCTCGAGCGCCCACCCGAGCGCCGCGCACGCGCCGCCTGCTCCCGCTCGCTCAGGCCCGCGCGCCGCCGCCGCCGCCGCCGGCGGTGCGGAACCTAGCTCTCATCGCTCTTTATCCTCTATAATTTCACATTGCAAAGGTTGATAATTTCACGAGACAGCTGGACCTTTGGAAAGAAAAGGTAGTGAATGTAATTAGGAAACACTCGATCACTGTCTTAGTAGGAAAATGGTTCTCTTGTCGTTAATGCATTTTTCAACAGAGTGGCTATTGCAATTTGATGAGCTCTGTAGGCGCAGATCATACCTTTCAAATTACACATAAAAATCTTAAGATTTTAGAATTGTTCGGTCAGCAAGTTAAGCATTTACCTCCTTTTGCCTTAAACTCCCACCCCTTTTACTGTCAGTTCCCTGGATATATAAATATGCATCAGTAAAAAAGCAAATACAAAGACGAGAAACGATCTTTCCACACCTGAGTTGACCAAATTACATAAAGGGGATTCGGGATATGATATAATATAATAGAAGCTTAGTATGCCAGACTTTGGTGAACCCAAAAAAAAAAACACAATGTTTTTTTAGTTCTATGAACAAAAACCTTGACCATTTATTGTCAGTGTCTGAATGTTTTTCTTTTTTGAAACAAGTGTCTGAATGTTGAACTAGTACATCTCAAGTTGAAGTATGCTTCACAACAAGCAAAAGAGATTTAACTGAAGCTAAGGATATACTACGAAGCTCAAGGTAAGGAAATACATCTAACAACTTCACTTTCACTTTTGTTCCTACACGGCCTCGAAGCCTCTGAGCCGCAGCCTCTCCATCCAAACCAGAAACACTTTTGCCAGCAGAATGAGAAGATAGCATCATCAATAATACCCCCCGGGAATGAGCCTGGTAACAACTTGCTGCACAGAAACAGGGAAAAATAGATAATGCACCATTAGCATGTATCAATCACAGTTTTGGCTCCCAATTCTGACAGGCGATTCATAATATTTGTTCAAATCATCGCTCAAACATTATCTGCAGCTGTGATTGTTAACCAATGGAAGGGGCAAAATGTAAGAAGTACAAAGTAGACATTACAGCTAATTATCAATCATCCCATCCCATTGGCCCCGTTCGGCTTGCTGAAACTTAGCTGAAAAACACTCTTCTGGCTGAATTATTGTGAGAGAAAAATAATGTTCTGGCTGAAAAAACAAGTTGAATAGTGTGGATTATAAGGTAAGCCGAACGGGGCCATTAAGCTGCATTTTCATACTTTCCTTATAATTCAATGTTGATAAAAAAGGATAATGCTGAAGTCAAAACAGATGCCTCATGGACATGTGCTACTACAACACATAAAAACTATGCAAGCATGCTAGATACAAAACTTAATTCATACCCAATGATGTGGTATGCCTTGTGTAATTACTAGAAAGATGGACAGTGCGAAAAAGTAAATACCATCTATCTCAACTAGCTCATCGCCTTCATGTATGCCTGCTCGATCTGCAGGGCCTCCCTGAATGCAGTACATAACAAGCTGAAACAGATTTGAATTAGTAACTGGAACACTCACGTCCTCTTTACAAGAGGATGAACAAAAACATACTTACCAATCGTCCAGAGCTCGGCTCCTTGTTTATGAACACCCCAACCCCTTGCACACTCCCATCGCTTCCTATCCTAAAACTCTAGTACTCCTGTATGTGAACAATCATTCACAGACTTGTCACAACTCATACTAGCTTTGTGCAGGTCAGGTAGTAACAGACGTTTCTCACTTGACAATATCAACCCAAGCATGCGTACCGTGGGGCTGATGATCCTCGTAAATGGGTCGCCGAGTGTGGATAGCATCCCACTGATTTTACTGTAGGCGGCATCCGCTGATTTCAGTGGAAATATCTCTACCATTGTTTGCTGGAGTTTCTGATCCCAATCTGCACGCTTGGCAAAATAAGTACATTGAAAAATAGCTTCTCCTATTTCATTAGTCTTCATCAGGTGGTGATTTTGGTGACGCAAAGCTCCACCCTTTCACTCTTGTTACAGTACCAACCAAACAGTAGCTCCTATCACTTCAAAACTAGCAACTGAAAACGCTGATTAGAGAGAACCATTACGCAAAATTGGGGGCTGTACCTTGGTGGTTGAAGGTAGGATCAACAAAGGTCTCACGGATCAGCCCCCACGTCTCAACCAGCGTCTTCTGTACTCTGTTCACCTGCCAACAACCCAAGCAAACAATCACCTTGTAAAGTTCGTATCTTTCTTGGAAACGCGGCGGCCGTGGATCACCGTCGGCACTGGGAACTTCAGGAACCCAACTCACCTCGCGCGCCTTGGAGACGGGGAACGCGACGGTGAGCGACTCGGCCCGGGCAGGCGGCGTCGGCAGCGGGGACACATCCCCGGAGAACCCGGTCAGTGACACCACGGCCGCGGCGGCGAGCCCCACCGCAGCCTGCCCCAGCACCCGGCCGCCGTGATCCGGCCCGGAAGCCCGGACTGCCGCCTGCTGCGGCGGCGGAGGCTGCTCTCGGCCCAGGCCCGCGGACCGCACCCGGAGTCTCGCTCTCGCTCTCCCCCCAAGAACCGCCGGCCGCGGCAAGGCCTTTCGGACCAGTCCGGGCTGCGGGCGCGGAGCAAGTGTAGCGACGAGGGAGCACTCCACCATTTCCATGGACGCGACGCGGGCGGCGATGGCGAGCTAGCTTGTCCCGAGACCGAGAGCGCGCGGGATACAATACAAGTGGGCGCCGGAGGCGTCCACGAGAATCTTTTGGCCGTGCGCCGTCTCGTCAGTTGAAGTAGCTGGGCTGGTGGACAGGAGGAGATCCGTGTGGACGGATCTTCTCGCTTGTCCACGTCGCGGGTTCAGCGTCGCACACGTATCTCCGGTCGGCCGGGTCGATGCGTTTGGGTGGTGGTGCGCGAGACAGATATTGGGTACTGTTTGTTGGTGGTGGTCTACAGAACTGATGGAGGAGAAATACTCCTGCAGATAAAAAGTGCATGAGTTTCTCGAATAAGATTCCCCGAATTTTACTCCTCTTATCCCAAAATAAATCACCTTGTAAAGTTATTCTAAATTAAATTATTTAAAATTTGACTAAATTTAGAGAAAGGTAACTAACATTTATGATATCAAATTAGTATAAATTAGATAATACTAACGAAATATATTTTCATAATGATATTAAATTAGTATAAATTAGATAATAATAATGAAATGTATTTTCTTTTCTAGGTGGCGTGGTGATACGTGGCTCAAGTTCGATTCTGGTTCACATTCGAGGAGTTTGGATGGATGCTTTCAAATCAATAGGCTATGATGTGCGGACTCTAAAGCGTGGATCCAATGATGCGTAGAAATTTCAAGGGCTGAAGATAGTAATGGAGTATAGATAGTAGATGTCGCAAAGCATGGTGGCAGAAATGAAATAGTAAAGCTAGTGAAACAATTTTTGTATGTTACTCAAATAACGGTTCAATAAAAATTGTAAAAAAACATATAACAGAAAAAAAAAACTTGAAGCAAGACCACAAATAAGGCGTGGAGCGGCCACAATGTCGTACAGGGTACTAAGGCCACGCCCAACGCATCACGCTGGATTGCTGCCCCAAGTTTCACGTCTGCATCAACCAGCCATATCATCTCAAGTGATGGTTATGCGGGGGTGTCAGGGACGCCTACAGAAGCATCAGTTGCTTCGTCTGACCAACGACAAAAACAACAGCCGGCGGAGATTGCGTTGTGGTAAGGAATTGCTATAACATGACGTGACTTCCTCGGAAAATCAAAGCACGAGAGACTGAGAAAGGAGAGAGTTGTGGGACCGAGATAAAGGTGGAAGCTGCTACTTGCGTTGGGTTGCTATTGCCCTCAATTTATCTGCTCCTACATGGATTGTAACTTTTTGTTGAGGCCAACGTTTGGTGTTGCCTGTGTTAGTGCTGCCCTAATAAATCATTATCCTCCTAATATGAATTTACTATTTTACCTTTAATTACATAAAAATAATTCTATCAATTTAGTACGCATTTGGTACCTCTCGGTACTTTTCTCGTAGTATCTTATGGCACATCTGTTTTTCTAGCCACTCAATGGCTCGTCAACAATGGTTCTCATTCCTCCAACTATAATAAATTTCTCTTAAATTACACACTCGGGAAATCAATATTTAGGAGATTTTTTTGGCCGTATAGAGCGAAGCATGCACTAAATAAGAGTATATGACTAAAACAACAATAGGCAAACACCAATCCATTTTAAGGAAAACAAAGTGTTAACTTGCACTTTTACATGTCAATGGCTGACACTAACTTTGCAAGTGCATTTGGTCCCCCATGTGAGATTTGGTGTATTAATGACAAAGAAATTTATGGATTAACCGAGTTATTGAGATTTATATGCAGGTGTTAATCCCTTTGGATTGTGAATTATGAAATACTAAAAGCATACCCTACGCATACCCCACGCGTTGCAGCAAGAAAGGTTTAGAATGAAATTAAACTATATTATTACTTATACAAAGGAATAACCTATTATAAATCAATTCTAGTGGACTGTGTGGCATGTTGACATAGACAACAAAAATGCTTACGTGTCTTGCTGAAGTGAACATCACATGTGCTAGTGCATTTTAATTGCATATGATAGTGCATTACTGAGGTGAACAACTTGCATATTGAGATATATTACTAGTGGGGATTAGAATTATAAAAGATATATATGACACCTCAATTCTTAAAGGAAATCGGAGTTCGACTCAACAGAGATTTAAATTTGTTTTATATTTTGAAATTGAGTTTTGGAAACGTCACACTATAAGAAGGACGCAAATTATATTGACTTGGAGGATAGGGTGCTCAAATAATCATTTAAAATTAATTGAGATACACAATAAATACCGTAAGAGCACTTTGGGCAGGTTTATATGGTTCTGCATGGTCGGAAGTTCCGACGGTTTTCAACACTGCTTGCAGGAGTGCGGTAGGTTTAGCAAGGGGAGGGGCCAGCGCTGCGTCTTCCTGGTCCAGGCGAGAGCATGGTGTGCGAGGTGTCCGCATGAGCGAGCTTTGTGTGGACACGGCGGTGACACGCGGTGCTAACTTCCTGACTTTCTATCGACCGTCGGGCGAGCTCGCGGCCATGGCTGATTCAAAGCCCCCTTCCCTCGCCTTTATCTCCCAAATTAGTGGAAAAACTCCATCGTGAATCATTAGTGGACAGCTTTATTTTAAACCTAGGTGATTATATACACAGTTCAACAGATCAGAGGGCTCAAAGTTTAATAAACTTGCTGTTTTCGGAAGGTTCCGAACTGTCATTCGGATTTCGGAGTGCAGCTTCAGACAATCAGACATGGTTTCAGCTTGGTTCAGGGATATTGGAAATTGAATTATAAGGCTCAAACATGTTCAGATCTCAACGAAAATCTTATGTAAACTTGGTGGTATATACTACTGATCATGTGTATACATCGGATTGATTTGTTACACAAATTTGAAATAAATTAGGTTGAGAACATGGCACAACTATGCTGTTTTTCAGAACTTCAGAGTTACAGACGACAGTGCAGTTTCAGTTTGTGTTTGCGATTTTAGAAATTGGATTTGAAGTTTCAAAATTGATCAAAGTTAATTGAGATCCTTTTTCACGTAAACTTGTTGATACAGACTACTAACTTTGCTCAAACACTTGGGTGGACTATTTCACAAATTTGTGAGAAAATTAGCCAAGAAACAGTGTTGCCATGTTGGTTTCAGGGACTTATCTTTGGCCCAGTGCAGCACACGACTCTTTGCTAGCTTTTGGAGGATATAAAATATTCAAACAAGTTTATTGTCAAGGGCGTTGGTGCCCAGGACAGGGGGACCTCGGCTGCGTAGTTCGTAGCCTAAGGAGATAACGGCGTGGGGTTGATCCCCTGGATGCCCAATTGTGAAGAGGTTGAGATTGAGAGAAGCAGAGGGAGATTAGGAATAGGTTTGATATTTCTTGCTTGACTCATTCATAACTGGTTACATGGTAGAAGTAGAGGCGCCCAACCTCTAGCTGGCGCCCAGCCTCTCCTCGTTTCTCTCCCTCTCATTAACTCTAATCCCTCAACCAACACACTAATTCTCATTGATTGTAGCTAGCTGCACATGCACCTCACTGGGTTTTAACCCCTAACCGGCAGCTTAACTGCCATTGATTACAGCTATCTCGGCGTGCAGCCATGCATCTCCTTGGGCATGCCCCTGGCAGCATCTTGAGCCCTGGACTGTGCTGGTAACGTCGGCCCTAAATAACATCTCTCCCTCCCTTGACGAGTAGCTCGTCCTCGAGCTAGAAGGATGGATAGCAATCGAGGAAGCCGTCGACGTCTTCCCAGGTGATCAGTGCAGCTGGTTTGTTTTTCCAGTGCACGAGAACCTGGCGAACACCTTGGATGAGCCGTGTGCGGGTAGTATGTGTTCTGGTTTGAACACTATATCATCATGGTGGGTCGGCGGCGGCGCCGGTGGTGCAGCCGGAGGGGTGCCGACCAACTTCTTCAAGAGCTAGCAGACCAGATGGTCCTTGTGCCAAAAGGACATGGTGAAGGCCGCAAAGTCCCAGAGAATCGGTCCCAGGGAAGCTAGCCACCGGATGTCGTAGCCGGCCAGCGGTAGCGCGAAAAAGTTGGTGGTGAAGACCTCACCGTCGATGGAGAACGACGCCCGCCGATACATGCCTGAGCATGGCACATGCTCGCCATTGGCCATCGTGACAGACACAGAGCTGCAACAGAACACGGAGAGTCCGGTGCGGCTGGCCACCTCCTCGGCGATGAGGTTGTGGAGTCGATGAGGGCGTGGACGTTGACGTCGCCCAGCCGGAGGCGCACCTGCATGGTGTTGCTGGTGTGGATGCCGTTGATCGCGTGTAGCAATAACTGTGGTGCCATAGTGTCAGGGTCATTGGGGGTGGCATCATTGTCATCATCCACCACCGCCAGGTCCAACAAGAACATGCACTGGCACACTTAGTTGTGACCACGCCCGAACTTTTCGTTGCAATTGAAGCAAAGGCCGAGCCGACGATGTTCTTCCATCTTGGACATTGACAGGCGCCTAACGGGGCGACCCTCCACCGTGACGGTGGCGGTTGTGGCAGTCACGGCAGGTGGCGGAGCCGAAAGAGCGAGACGTGGTGAAGACACCAGAAGGATGCCCTGTTGCTGATCGCTTGGTGGTGCGGGAGGCGAAGCAGCCATATCTGCATACTTCTCGCGGATCTCCAACTTGCGAGCAAGACTCATGGCGACGATGAGGGACTAGGGATTGTGGAGCTCAACGTCGAGACTAAGAGGCAGTTGTAGTCCGGCCGTGAAGGCTTGGACGCGCTATGCCTCCGAGAGTGTGCCCGTGTGTGGGAGCAGAGCCTCAAACCAGTCCTGGTATTCAGCAACAGTGCCGGTTCGCTTGTAGGCCATCAGTTCCCCGAGTGGATTGGAGCGGATTGGCGGCCCGAACCTGAGGTTTAAGAGCTCAGAGAAGCAGCACCATGAAGGTGTGCCTTCATCCTGGTAGACTTAGATAAATGACAACTAGGCGCCACCTTCTAGATTGTTGGAGGCCATCCACACTTGTTCCTCCGCAGCAATGCGTTGCTGATGAAAATAGGACTCGCAGCGATTGAGGAATGTCAGT